GAGAGAGAGAGAGAGAGTGGGGCAGTCTTTTCTCTTCCGCTTCCCACTGCGCAGGAAGAACGAGCAGAGCGACAGAGTTCCGCATTCGTCATTAAAACACGTGATTTTATTTTTTAAATTTATTTTATTTTGAAAATCCTCTTTTTAACTAGGTGTGAAGTCGTGTTTATTTGTGCTGTTTATGTGTACACGTATAACTTATTGTACCCGAGATAAAGCCGGAGTGTATAGAAATAGTTAAATGATGAATAAATAAATACAACATAAGATAAATTAAGGTTATCTAATATGTGCATATACCGCATTTTAACACAATATTACGTGTTTTTTAGGGTTTTATAAATATTGATTCCTACTTTCCTCATCAAAACATTTCTTTAATTCAATTATTTTCTGCCATTTATGTTTTTTCCCCAGTAAATACTAAATCTCTTAAGCATAATTTAATTTATTTTCCATTAAAATATAATATACTGACTCTAAACGAAGCCTTAGAGAACAATGTGTATACTAATTTAATTTAATTAAAAGTCCCCATTTTAGTGTTTTAAACTTCCCAGAAACAATATTGAAGACAAACCTTACTGCAAATATGTTTGATATGTTTGTCTAATTGTATTAGGTAAATAAAATGTATTGATTGTTTTCTCTTAGAGCTGCCTTTTGCAGATGGGGAAATGGTGCTACAATCATTTGTATTAGTGTTTCTTTTTTTGTTTCTTTTTGTTTAAGAAAAACAGTTTATTAAATGTCTGTCTGTATTAAAAGTACTGATTAGACAGCAGTATTATTAGGTTAGCAGTACTGTTTCATTAATCTGTGAGCAGAAATTTAATGTTGACAGTAAGTAAATGTTTTTTACAAGCTATAACAATACGACATATTTTTTATATATATATAAAATCTTGAAAATCTTGATTTCAAGCCGTCACATTCATTAAATGTCTTAATAAAATGTTTATACTCTCCTCTGAAATGTAGTAAAATAAAGATATTAGGCAGCATGTAGACTACGGAAACCGCGGAGGAACATTCGACTCCTTGCTCTTTGTTACAGCCCAAAGCATTACGTCATGTATCGATCAGCCATGCGCCAATACAAACACCCATCGACAAATAGCGCCACCGTGTGGAAATAGAAATCAATGACAAACTAATCAAAATCTGAACTACTGATATCGATCATTGATTCCGGTGCGATTGCTTCAGTCTGACGATTGCTCGCTATCGATTGCTTCTCGCTGCGCGCGCAGTCTATTGATTGAACATGGCGGCGACTCCAGCGACCAACCCGTCCCAGTTGCTTCCTCTCGGTGAGTAAAAACCTGATTAATGTGCAGTTTCTGTGTGTGCAGAGATGATTTTATATATTGTAGACATTGTATGTTAGTGTGGAGACAGTTGAGACTGTCTGTGGCGGGATTTAAAAAGACTTGAGTGGGTTTTAGTTGGGGATTTGTTGGTGATGAACATGCTTTGAGCCAACATGGTGTCTTATTTTATTATATGAGTGATATTAAAGGTAATATATATCAATTATGATTATATTCATATTAGGAGGGGGGTGTATTGTCCCAAATGTCAGACACAAATTAATTTTATGCTAATTTAAGTGTAGTTAGTGTTGAATCTTTGTCCTTTTTCTTATGAATTTTAATACAGTTTTATTTAACCAGGTCTGGTTGAGGATATTGTTTTAATTTATTACATATTTTAAGTGATTACAATCCAAATAAGCTTTAGAACTACTAAGTAAAGTCATTTTTCGAGGATAATATTAACATTGTTGTGATTATTTACTGAATATCCTTGTTTTTTTTAACTGTTGGTCAAATAAAATAAGTAATTTGAAGACGTTACTGTCTGGGAATTACATTTTTAACTATTTTCAAATAACATAATAAACGTTTGCTTGAATTTAAGACATGTCAATAAAATTTGTTGCAGCCCTAAACATGATAAAGCTCTTACACTAATAGCAGTGCCTTATTATGTTTGTACAGCAAATGCAGGAAAATAAAGTGAAAGTACGTAAATTTGATATAAATTAATGATAGTTAAATTAATGTGAACTGAAAAGTTTGCAAGCATTTACCAAACGAAAGCTAGAAAATACACAAACTAGATCTGCAACTACAAAGAGGTAAATACTCATGTTTTAAGAAGCTGTAATCGGCAAAAGTTTGGTGTTTTTGCCTGAAAAATGATAATAATTATATATAATAATAATTCTAATAAATGGTGCAATGTAAAAAAACTGATAATTATATAAAAACAGTAGAAAATGACTGTTTCTCTCTGATTTTCCTCTTTGTTTTCCACCTTTTTTAGAGCTCGTGGACAAATGTATCGGCTCCCGAATTCACATCGTCATGAAAACCGACAAAGAAATCGTCGGCACCCTGCTGGGGTTTGATGACTTTGTCAGTATCCTTTCCAGGTTACAGTCTAACCACAAAAAACACACGAGAGTATAAAGCTTTTCGTGATTTTACTTCATTGTTTGCTCTGAATATTTGTCCCAGATCTCTTCCTCAACTCACTGTTTTTAGATATGGTCCTGGAAGATGTGACAGAATTGTAAGCACACTTTATTTTTTAATGTTTGCATTAAGTCCACTCATTTGCCTTTCTTCCTGTTTTATTGAATGAACTCATTGTTGTATGTGTGTCTCAGTGAAATCACACCAGAGGGAAGGAGGATAACCAAACTGGACCAGATCCTCCTCAACGGCAATAACATCACCATGGTGTGTAAATAATCCTGCATGTTTGGTACCGTTACGTTGACTTTATTGGGGCTCATATCTGACCCGGTACTGTTGCTTTTTAGACATTCACAGTTTAATTTATATTAATATATGTTCTTGTTTGCAGCTCATACCTGGAGGAGAAGGTCCTGAAGTATGAGAATCATCACTGAGTGCGGAGACAGTTTTTTTCCTATGTTGTGTTCCTGAGTTGATTATGACATTATTATTGTTGTTTTTGGATCAACCCTTCTTGATCTTGAGGGAGAATATTTTTGTATGTTTTGAAAAAAAAAAAAACACTTAAGTTAGAAGTGTGTCATGAACCACACGTGACCAAAAATTCTTTTACAAATAAATGAGAATGAAACAGTTTGGAAAAAAAAAAACGTCTTTATTTGTATTTTCTTTTTTCTAAACTCAAAGTTATACAATTTAAATTTAGTGCAAGTGTTGGTACAAGTGTCGTCGCACCACAGCAGTGATAAAACCTGGATCCAGTTGTGTTTTATGTTTTGAGAAGAATAAGAAAAGACTGAACACAGACAGAGTTGATTTATATTGAATCCACCCAGTGAACTTTAAAACAACAGAGGGGGTTGTAGAATATATCCCAGTGGTTCCTCCTGAGCACCTCCTCCTCTCCTCTCCAGCTTTCAGTACATGGAAGGTTTCTCCTCTCCTTTCGGGTTGGTCACCTTCTCCAGGTTCTTGTTGATGATGTCGTACAGCTCGGCCTGTAAACGGGTAGAGAAAGAAAACGGGTTTAAGTTTTCCTCTGAGTGACGGTATGGGGGGAAATACTTCTCGACTCGGGTCAGTCTGACTTACGTAGAAGCCGCGAATGTCGAGAACGATCACTCTGATCTCGGAGAAGATGGTCTCGTCCTTCTCGTGGACAAGCGAGCGGTAGTCCATCTGGAGGAGGAGAAGTTGAAGGTATTTATGAGCATTTTATTAAAGCTTTAAAGAATACAGCTGGTGTTTTATATTTTTCTTATTGTCAACAAATCCTATGACAACAAAACCGACACCTCTCAGTGCTTTCTGACTCCCCTAATCTGACAAATATATTTTGTTTAATTCCTTAAAAGGCTCAGTAACTTCCTAAAACATCTGGTCACTAGTTTTTAACAACAAAACAAGAAATGGTGCATTTTTGGGGACTATTTTCAGCAGCGGATGAATCCACATTTGGTGCTCTAGTGAGTATTTGGTGCAGCAGGACGTTGTTTGTGGGATTGTGTCAGAATAAACTACAGTGTGTGTGTTCGTGGTAATAAAAGAATGCGTCACAGTGTGGCTCATTGATGTGGTTTTAGTAGCTTTTGGTCTTTTTATTGGATTTGTTGACACTGAGAAAAATGTAAGGAATCATCTACATTATCCTTTAAAGTACAGACATAGTGAACACTTACCACATGAGTGTCTTTGGAAGCTTTTGCAACAGCATCTCCCCTCTCTGAAAAGTACCTGGATGATTGAACAGAAGTGGTTTTATAAGCCACAGTCAGGAAAACATACTCGTAAATCTCCTTATTTCAACCAAAATCACCGCAAAAAATGACGTTTTCTGATTCTGGAGAGTTTAAAAATACTGCATTCTTAATAAAAGTAAAATAAAACTTAAACAAGACACAATCTTAAGGTATTTGGAGGGTTTATGGTCCATTTATATCCAACCTACTTGTTGATGTTGGTCTGAAAACCGTCGACTTTAGTCTTCACTGCAGCGATTCTCTCCAAGATTTTCTCCTGCGGTGAGAAAATAATTTGTGATGAACTCAACCCTTTTCACGCAATTTTATCAGAACTGTGCGTGAACAGGATGCACACGTGTACGTACCTGGATGGCGACACCGAAGTCATTTCCATCTTCTATTTTGGGGATGAGGTGCTGAATCCAGCAGGAGACCTACAGCGGCAGGAGTAAATTCCGCGTTATGGAAAATAATCTGAGTCAGCATTAATCCTAACAGTGAGTGTGATTCACTTACAACGATGATGGTCTCTCTAAGAGCAACGATCTCCGGTTTCACCCTCTCTAGAAGCATTAAAATCTTCTCATTGCCCTTGATGAAGCCGCATTTTGGAGCTGAAAGACAGGGAGGAGAAATTAGTTTTATCGTCACAAACGTTTGTGTCCAGGTGCCACAAAAACACTTTTTTACCTTTCTTCTTTTTCTTCTCATCGTCTTCATTCTTATCTGTCTCCATTTCCTGTGAGATCAGACGTACACGGTCAACAATGTAATGTAATCTAACCTCAGGCCTCATTAACCAAGTTCCGAACTGGCACTATCACATACGTGCATAAATTCCTGTTTTATAGGTATACCCAGCTAACATTAATGCAGTCTAATACAACAATCCTGCTTTAAATCATAAGGTTTTAATGTGTTTGTTCTGGAGAGGAGTTGATTCAGCTGTATTATCATTTTGGAGGATGTAGTTTGTGCTGCTCTTTAACTATATTGTATATATTGTTATGTGTTTCTGTCATTTCGCCTCATTGATATAAATAGGGTGAACAAAATGATAAACACCTGTCAGTGTAACATAATACATTTTCAATAAAAACATTAAAACCTCCATGAAGGGAAGATGTATTAAAGGACTGCTGCTTAATATTAGAGGTATTAAAATGAGGTATTCGACACTGAGGCTTCAAACCCTGGATGAAAATGTCTTTCTGTGTTTTATTTTTTAAGAGATAGTAGAGATATTTTGTGCTGTACAGTGGTGCACACACTTTAACTACACACACTGTTAATCATACGGTCTCACCTCGTCCTCTGTGGGAGGAGGGTCCGGTATGGGGATGTCCAGGGGAGCCTGGAGCGAGGTCATGTCTGTGATACTGAGGGCGTCATCCTGAAAGCACACACACACACACACACACACACAGGATGAGGAGACCACAAGCTGCAGAAGCTTTTTATTTGCATATTTAGCTACAGAGTCAGCTTTAGGAGCACAAGGAGGAGCCTGATTAACCTGATTTTATCTCATGTACTGCTATCAGCAGGTGTGAGCATTGGCTTCACCATCCTAGGATGCATAATTGTCTCACCCTATAGTGTGTGGGTTAGTATTTATTGCATAATCTGCACCTCTTCTGTAGGTAATGTTAAGTTCATAATGATCCTAACTGTATGCAGAAGTTAAATGACAATATGCAAACACTACTGGCCCATTTGAGGGTGTTTTTCTGCTTTAAATAAAAACAGTGCAGCATAAATGAAAGAGTAGACCAGGTTCTCCAGACCAGACGCCACTACAGACAGTAACTTATTGAGACGTGCTGCAGCTTTAAGGCTTGCTGAGCTTTACTGACCCTGAGCAGAGCATCCAGCTGCACGATCTTCAGAGGGATGCAGTTGGAGAACAAATTCTCAGCCTGAAAAACAAAGAAATATCAGTTTCAGGGTTTCAGCTTCTTGTTTTAAACCAAATGTGTCATTTAAAATGTTTAAAAACTCAACAAACCTCATGATACAGGGACTGGCGGAAGTTCTCCACCTGTAGAAGATGTAAAAACAGGTCGAAGTGAATGAAAACAGATTATTTAAGCTGCTGACTCATGTTACTGTAGAGGACTTTACTTTCGTTTTCCTCTCAGAGGGACTTTCCGTCTTTACACCGGACTGTTTAAAACATGTTTGTTGTTCATATTTCACAAACTCTCTGCATTAAATTAACTGTTTCATATGTTTATCTTTCTTTTTTTAAAGTCGTTTAGCATTACGCTGCTAACCCATGTAGCCTGTTGTACCTGAAGGGAGCGCGTGAACACATCAACCTTACCTTAAGTGCGCTCGCGCTGTTGATCTTCAGGGTTGACGTCTTCGACATTATCGATTATCGATCAGACTCTTTGCAGCTTGGAGACACAGAAACACGTCCGTTGCAGTGTCAGACGTGTGCAGAGGGTCAGCGGAGGACAATATGTCTGACTACTGTGCTTTTCTTTTATTTCCTCCTTCGGGTTACTTTCGATTTGATGTCGGATGATGCAGTTTGCGCCTCCCACTGCCTCCTTCCTCTTCCTCCTCTTCCTCAATAGTACGGTGCTTTCCTCCGTCTGCAGCATTAAAACTTCAGCAGAGGACATGTTGTGGATTTAAAAGGCAATAATGAATAATAAGAAGAAGAGGGAATGTCTTTATTATCTCAATAAGACTGTAAAAACACTGTGTTTTGCATTAGTAGTGATACTATTACTATAATTTCACCGGTAACTAGTAGTGTAACTGATTACTAATACGTTTAAGTAATAATATTACCCCCAAAAAGTAATGAATTACAACCTTACTTTTGTTGGCAGTCCTCCTACTGACAATCACATCCTTAAAAATATTCTCATTTCTTTAATTTGAACAAACAAAACTGGATTTTAATCGTCGTGAGTTTAAATTTTGGGGAGAAAAAGACACAATAAACAATTTTATGGGGAATAGCAGGAAAGTAATGTAACTAATTACTGTGACAGGGAGTAATTAAAGTACTTTTTAATAGAGTAATAAACGTTATTACAGTGCACATCGCTTTGGGAATGTAACTTAAGTAAAAGTATTATCAGAAAAGTGTTCAAAGTATATATATTGTTATATTTATATATATATGTATATCATTAGATTATAATGATTCATGCATTAATATAAAGTAAAAGTAGAAAGTAAGATCAATACTAATAGTAGAAGTACCTCAAATTTGAACTTAAGTACAGTATTTACTCAAATTCTGGTGAGTGTCTGAAGAATAATATAATGCAGCACAAGATTATTATTTTATTTTATTTTATTTTCTGTTGAGGCTTCAATAACATTTTTATAATAATATACAAATACATTTCAATCATTGTAGGACGTTCTGTGATCAGTGGAATAGACAAAGAAGCACATTTTATAATTTCACATACACTCTTTTATTATTTTCAAATATTTCATATGTAGGATAAAACACATTATATGAACATATGCATATATATATATATTTATCTATTTATCTGGAGCTGCTGTAACATGTGTAGGATCAATAAAGTCTACCTTATCTTATTAGTAGTTTATTTTAACTTTCTTAACTTTTATTCTTCATTTTATCTTTTATATATATATATATATATATATATATATATTTATATTATGTTGTTGTTGTATGTTGTTTGTATATCTGGAGTTTGTGACAAAAATAAAGTATGTCTGATTCAGATCTTTTTTACTGCAATTATATTTAAATAATTAGTAATTAGATAGATGTATGTATATAATATACAAAATTAACAGTAGCTACAGAATTACATTACAGAATACAGAATTATTTAAACTATTAGTTAAATACTTCCTAACAACTAAAAGCTGTTTTTGGAAAATACTGCAAAGTTTAATTT